GAAATCTGAGACTCAGAGAAGTCAAATTATTCACTCAATTTATCTGTAAGTTTCAGAATTCCATTTAATTCATCTCAATCTAAGTTTTTTCCTCAGTTTCTCCATCTGTAATGCCTTCCTAAAATCAAAGATGCAAAGAGCACTAGCATAAAATATTTGATGACCATCCATATACAATATAATGTGTAACAGAAATGATGTTATTTATTTTATTTCATTATATACCATACCAATTTTATTATATACCTTAAAATATGGCTCTGTAATATTAAGAATACAGGTTTAAAATTATGAACTCAAGCTTTTAATCTTGATATACTTGCTTTGATATGATTTATGATATAAAAAATATCTTTCTATTATCCCTAAATAGAAAGGCAAAGGAAAGTTTCCTCTTCTCATTCTTTCCAAATGGTATAATATTAAAAGCCATCACCTAAAAGAAAGACCTGTTTGATACCCACGTAAGAGGAAACTGCATATCTTTATTTAACTGCTGCTATCTATTCTTAACTTTAAATGGTACTGACCTATTTGTTCTATCTGCAAAGGAGTTCTAGTATAACCTCAGAATATTCCAACCACAGCAACAGGATGTTTAGGCTATTTTACAAAGCTATCTCGGGTTCCTGTGTGAAGGGGAAAGAGTTTGCAGTGTTCCTTATTCCAAAGAAGAAAAGTCTCTGATGATCACCAAAGCATCAAGATAGTGTGGTTGTAGTCTGTATGCTTGGCAATACTTTCACAGTTATCAATAAAGGTTGGCTGATTCACAAGTAATGGCACACTTAGCAGGACAGCTTTTTAGATGAAGTCAATCCCCATCATCTAGGTTCTTGCCTTGTACCATTTTCCTTTTAAGCATGCTATTTAACTACCTGGATATTACCTTGAAATTTAATTTGGAAACTTGGAAGGATAACATTGCTAAGAAAAATTTAACAGATAAAATAATTTCTTAACACTGCTAGAGTCGGACGAATATACTATGAATTTTTTCAAGTCTAAGTACTGTCTATGTAGCAGCAATAGGCATCATCAATCTAGGAGTTGTTAGAAATGTATAGTACAAGTCCCACTGCAGACCTCTTGACTCAAATTGTGTTTTAATGGCTTAATATTGCTACTCAGCAATTTACACAATAAAGACAGAAAAAGACAGGTTTGGAAAAATAAGTTTTTTGCTGGGAAGGGTGTCAGGCCCATTCAGATGGTTATTATTTTGCATCATCAAGATGAGCGTAATTAGAATTACAATCTAGTTTTCTTGTTTGTTCAGTGTACTACCTATGAAAGCATTCATGGTTACATCTAACCATGCAAGAAGGAAGAAAAGAATCAATAACCCATGATAGTCACCTGTTATTGAGCATAGCTGAGGTTGAATCTTACTTTGAGTCAAGATTTAATAGATGTAAAGTATTCTAGAGGGTATTACTTGTACCATCCTTTCTTTAGATCAAGACATAGAGCTAAGTTGGGACACTACAGTGATAGTCAAAATCTGTCATTTTAATAAGAAGAAACAAGATTCATTGGATTCTGAAGCACCAGAATTCAACTTCCAATTTATATGTAATTGATATTGTGTTTCCCCAATTTATTACTAAAAGAAATATTCTTATTACTATTTATATTTTATGAAGCTTATATTAGGAGATATTCATAATTTCTACAGCAATTTCTAGGGTATTACCACCTTCTACTCCAGCTTCATCCTATCCATATTTAATTCATTTAGAACGAGTGAATTGTGTGATGTGCATGTGTAGTTATAATTATATGACTTGGCAGAAATTATTAAAGGAGAGAATTTTGAAGTTTTAATTATATATTAATGAAAATCATCACAGTTTTTAAAATGATAATTCAGAAAATTCTAACGATATTTATTTACTATTATATGTATTATATATACTTGGTACCACAATAAAAATATTTTATTTATTTAATAATAACATTATTTGAAAGGAAAAATCTTTTTCTCAATATTTTTTCCTGCATCAAAATTACTCTTCAGAGTATTTTTTTGCTCAGAATAAAAAATAACTTGATTGCAAGTCTTTACTATAAAATTTCTCATTTCTCTTAGTATGGGGAAAGCATTTTATATTCTAAGGAACATGAATTAGAAAATACTCGATGTGGTGTTAGTCTATTATGCGGCAATGCACTCAGTTGAAGTGGGTATACATTTCACTGTGGGTATCACAGGAAAAGAACAAAAAAATTAATAAAACTTATTTCTCCAGCCCATTAATGTTCAATTATCATGTCATTTCCTCATACATAAAATGGGTTTATAATAGGCATCATGAAGGAATATATTAAATTAATCAACCTTTCACTATGCATTTTATCCTTAATTCTCTTTAAAAGTATTTATATTTTATTTATGTTCCTTTTTAATATTGATGAATTGTTTTATCCTATAACCTCAAAAATTACTGGTTATCAGGGTGTTGAGGCATACCTTATATAAAAGTAGTATATCTTATTTCCCAAAGACATTTCATCCTTCAAACATTATTCATAACCAGAGCAAATTAAAAAAAATAGTTTAACCAGCACTAAGCCTCCAGGTTGCATTTACATAGATCCCCCCAATTCTAAAATTCCTTTGTTTTCATTTATTGAAGTTATTTCCAATCCCTTTTTTTTTTCAGTATTGTGTCATAGATCTAGAAGATAAATTTAATCTCGGTTCTTATTAGTAACTAATTAAAAAGAGAAGCAAGGGAATATGTCAATCAAGATTTAGCATTTTCTAGTGTATATAACGGTTTCTAAATTTCTTTCACGTCTCTAGCATCATTGTATAAGGTAATGATATTTTCGAAGAGTTTATTGTTTAACGGCTTATTTGTTGCTAGATATTTTTAAATCAAGTACATACACACATGGTGCAGTGAATAAATAGGCTGTATATTTCTATTATTAGAATTGCCTTCCAGTGGTACTGCAGTTAAATATATTCTTTTTTCTTCTTGAGCTATGAATTCGGTTAAGTACGTGTTTGTATGGAGCTTTTTATCATGGTGGGTGTTTGGTTGACAATAACTTCCTTATTCCTTTTGTCTCAAATCAGTTATAAAACAGTTTATTCCAAAAAAGCATAGTGCCCTCAAAAAGGTAAACCAATGGTAGAAAAAAAATCTTTTCTTTTTTGCCTTATGAGTATATTGTTCTGAATCTTTTCTTATTTTTCAAATCACCGATATGCGTATTAACAATTTTTAATCACTAAAATATCATTTCCTAAGAAAATATATCTATAGCACAAGCAATTGGTTAGATCAGATATGATCTGTATATAAATAGATGTTACATTCTCGTATTACATTTCCCTCTTTTGGTTGCTATGTGATAGTGACAGGCATGTAGAAATATTATAAACCAATACGTTAAAATGTACGTCAATTCAAAGATTGTTCACTGTGTATTCACTTAAAAATTTTTGATACTACAGAGATTATATTAAAAGTAACATTTCACACAAGACTTAAATTTTAAAGCAAGAGATGCTTGCATGTATAAGACAGAACTCCCATCCCATAGACATGTTTCTCACTTCTGTGAAATAAAGACAAACCTCAAACCTATTAAACCTTGCCATATTAAAATGACACACTATCAATGAACTGAAAAGATAAATCACTAGCCTTTACAACTCCAGCGTGAAAAATACCCAAAGATTTGTCTTTAAGCTATTCAGGCCATAAAAATTTCTGTTGCCACTATTTTTATTGCAGTTGTAATATATATGTATATATTACAACTGCAATAAAAATGGCACTTGATCACATAGATCTAGATATTCTCTGGGTGGCTGATTCTAGAAAAGCAACAGGCTTCTCCCTTTCCCTTACAATAAGCAACAGTTAGAAACTCTAAAAAGTAGAAACTGCTTTTCCGGGTTTTTGGAAAGAGGCAATAACGATTTCCATTAATGATTCCCGGTAACTGATTCCCATGTGTTTTGCAACAGCTTCAACATAGAGAGAGGAAAAGAGAAGAGAGGAGAGGGAAAGGGGGAGAGAGAGAGAGAGAGAGAGAGAGAGAGAGAGAGAGAGAGAGAGAGAAAGAGAGAGAATAGGGGAGAGATTTAACCCCTTTGAAATTAAAGGATTTTGCTGTTACAATCACCCCAATTCTTTTTAATCATCAGACATTTTAAGGCATGCTTAGGTTTCCAGGGTAACCAATAACTTGACCCATCCTTTGGCAACTTCAATTCGCAAGATGCAGTCAAAACAAATCCATCCTCGCTCAAGTGGGAAGACCAACAACCCCCCCCCACACACACACACAAACACACATACACCCCCACCCCCACCCCCACCCCCCCCCCCCCCCCAAGCAGGACTAGGCACTTCCTTAACAACAAACTGTTGTCTTGGACTGGTCTCAGCCCGTGGTTCCAGTCACAACAGTGGGCTAGGGCCTGGGGATTGGTATTGAACACTGAGACCTCTCTAAGGCTCAGTCTGGTCCAGGAGTGTTTAGCGGGCAGAGGCGGGAGCCGGGATTGGCTCTCGCGGCCCACCGGCGGGGGATGCTAGCGCAGGCCTCCGGGCCGCCAGCAGGTGGCGCCCTGCACATCGCGACCCCTCCAAGGAAACCCGGCGAAAGGAGCGCTCAGACTCCGCCCAGCCCGCGCCTCCCGCGCCGCCGTCACCGTCCGTCCGCGGAGAGTGCCGAGCACGCTCTCCCGAGCACCGCAGTCGGCCGTGTTCCGTGTCCAACATGCGAATCGAGGGGCCACGGGCTGTGTGCGTGCGTGCGTGCGTGCGTGTGTATGCATGTGTGTGTGTGTGTGTGTGTGTGTGTGTGTCCGCGCGCGCGCGTGCCAAAGTGGGGAGCGCGCGTAGAGCGGGACTCCCCGAGCCGGGTGGGGTGATGACCGCGCAGGAAACGCAGAGGACAGGAGGGGGACCCGTGCCTTTAGCATCTGCGTAAGCCTGGCCGCCACGGGGCCGGCGGGGACGCCACTCACTCACCATGTTCACTTCGGAGACCATGTCTATGCTGGCGACGTCGATCCGCATCCCGACGTCTACTGGGGGCCCTAGGGGAGGGGAAGCGGGTGGCACGTTACAACCATCTGCTTGGAGGGGTCATAAATTGAGGAAGGGCTGTGGGGGCGGGGGGAACATGCCCATGCCGGAGCTGACTACGTTCTGGATGGGCTGACTCCCCCCTCTCCCCTTCCCTTTGGGGGACACGGAGGGAAGACAGGTATGGACACACGCGTGATGCAGTGACTATGCAGAGGGTGTGTCATGTCGTGTTGAGCCGGCAGGAGAAGGTCGGATGTTGCTGAGGTTACATCCACCTGTTACTGGAGGTTGTGTATGTGTGTATGTGGAGTGCGTGCGCGCGCGTGTGCGTGTGTGTGTGTGTGTGTGTGTGTGTGTGTGTGTGTGTGTCCAGGGCGTAAGGCGTAGTGAACGCTTATGAAAATTGCATGTCTTTTCTTTCTTTCTCTCTCTCTTTTTTTTTTAAATAAAGCATTTATCAGTGACTGGAAGGGAGAACTAGATGTGGGTTACAGGTTGATAAAAGATGAAGCATTTACCTCCAAAGTCCGGCCGCAAGCGAATGTCATATCCTTTGAGCAATCTGTCAACGGTCTCTTTCACGTATGACATGTTGCTGGGCTCGTTGGCACTGGAGGAAGGAAGTAGGGACTGGACTGAGAATGACTACAAACTGCGAGCAGACATGAAAAAGAGACAGGCACATCTAGCCCCCCAAATAACAAGCTACATATCCAACAAGCACGGGGGGAAAAGAAAGAAAAAGAAAAATGCCCTGGAAAAAAAAAGAGAGAGAAAAAGAAACATTTAAGAAACGGCAGCTCACCTGTGTCCACAGCAGACCATGGCAATCATCACAGGGAAAGAGAGAATCCCCAAACTCTCTCGATTTTGTACAGTCCACATTACTAACTCTGATGAAAAGAATTGTCTTTTCTGCGAAGCTTCAAGGAATGCAACTTAGTCGGCGGCAGGGCAGTAATTCCCGAATGGACCTGCGCATGCGCAGAGGAGGCTCACTACCAAAAGACACCTTGTGCCTGGCAAACAATATTCCTAGTGGAACAGGCAACAGATTTCAATCCCTTTAAAGTTCCTGTTTGTGGCGATCCGCGTCCTGCGGGTAGTCGGAGATATCCTGCTGTTTGCGAGTTTGCGGATCCCAAGCGCAGCCGGTTTTCTTTTTTGTGGTGCTTCTTCGTGCACTGGAGGGTGGCTCTGTTCATTTCCTTCCTGCTCACAACCTGATTTTGTTGTTGTTGTTGTTGTTTTTTGCTATTTTTTTTTTAAACTCAACTCCGGGGGATTGGGGAAAGACTGCCTGTGATTGGCATCTTTCGTTGACAGTCACGGTGGCCCTGGAATTGGAAGTCTGGAGGCGGGCGATGATATTCTAGTTGCTAGCATGTGTGTTTGTGTGATGGAGTGTGGGGGAGAAGTGAGTGGAAAGGGAGAGAGGGGAACGAAGGGAAAGAGCAGAGGGAACTCAGGTTGTATTTGACGGCTGCCAGAATCAGGTCTCCTTGGGAGGCATTTTAGGGCATCTGTTTTAGTGTGCTGTTTTTCCAAAGGAGAGGAGGAGGGCCAGACCAAGTTTTTCACTCACTCCCCTTTTCTTTCCCCTCCTCCCCTCTTCCTCCGCCCCCCACACAGGCACACACTCTCTCTCTCTCTCTCTCTCTCTCTCTCTCTCTCTCTCTCTCTCTCTCCTTTCTTTTCTCTCTCAGCTAAGGAAGTGAGGCAAGTTAGCTTTTGGAACAGTCTTTTAGTTTTTTGTTTTCTTTCTCTTCTTTTTTTTTTTTCCAGAAAGGCCATGCTAAGTAAGTTCTACTTTTCTTCTGGGCTCTAGCAAAGTACTCCCAATCCCATACGTTCAGAGTGTTAGTTGAAAAAAAAAATGACCTGGATATCGTTGAAAAGAGAATCTAACCTCCACTGGCAAGTACGCTGGAGTTTAGGGTAAGTAAAGGTTGTTGGTGTTAAATTAAATTCAATGTCATTTGATACATGACGTTGTATACGTGTTAGACAGAAGGTCCAAGAGCTGTGCTTTGTCTATCAACTCAATGATAAATACAAACTAAATCTCACGTCTAAATCCGATTTAAAGATAGTTCTCAACTTAGGCTGGAGATAACCATAGATTTATTTAGGAAACGGAATGAAATACCTGAGTAAATTAAAAATATCTCTGGATAGTTTAAGTGGTGACAGAAAGGTTGCTAACTGTACCAGTTGAAGTAGATATTGTTTTCAGAGTATAAGAAAAGAGGGTGTATGTGTATATTTGTGTGTGTGTGTGTGTGTGTGTGTGTGTGTGTGTGTGTGTGTTGCCGGAGCCAGAAAGAGCAAACCAGAAAGGAAAGGGAACAGCCTATATCAAATCCAAGAGACTTAGTTCTGTTCTACTTGGGTAGCTCAACAAGCTCATCTCAGGAATGACCTAGCAGAATACAGAAGGAGAGAAGACTGCATGGTGAGTGATGCAGATACACAGGGGAAGCTAAGTTCAGACCAGAAGGAAAGCCCATACACTACTGTGCTGTTGCAGGTTTCTGAAAATTACAGGTTTAGATTTTAGATGGAATATTTTTTTCTGGTAGACTACTTAAGAGCAATTAATATTATTTTCTCTCTGGTTCTTGTGCCCTCCGAAACGGGTTATCTTGTTTAAATCTTGTAACAGTACAAGTGTGGTAGCTAAATTATTGTTATTTTTCACATTTAGAGATGTCAGAGAACAAAATAGGACCACGTGACTAACTTAATATCAAAATGACTACTAAATGATGAAATGAATGTCTACAGAACCAGAATTGATGGCCCTAACTACTATCCTTTGCTATGAAGCACAGATCCCAAGAGGAGCATAAGTGACCATACAGGGAACATAGCAAGAAGGACAAAAGAGTTATTACACTGCCACAGGCAAAGAAAACTAAAGTCCTGACTGTGTTTAGCATGAAGAAGTAGAAGACTACTGCAAAGTTTCAGAAGTATAACGAAGACGTCAAATTATTGGAAAGGTCAGGAACAGGAATCTTTTTAAGGTACCTAGAGAATTGTACAAACATTTGCATATGAGTAGAACTTGAAATTCTACTTATACATTAATTTTATTTGTTCGTTTGAGACTCATAACAACTTTTTTTGACTCGTAACAACTTTGAACACTGGGGACAATATTTGTACTTAATCAGATTTCTTAATTTTCTTTATTCTTCACTCTTAGTGTTCTTTAAAAGGGTAAGAAAAAAGGAATTGTGTATACTTTGTGTTCTTGCTGAAGCACTGAATTATTCTATACTGCACAATTATGTTTTCTTCTAAAGTCACACAACAGAAAGTAGGGTGTGTAGAAGCTTGCATCCTTCTTATGTTCGTGTGTTTAATCCAGAAACACTTATTTACTATTTGTTAAGTGTCATATTCCATACTAAAAGCTGGTGATAAAGCAGTGAAAAAAAGTATACAAATATAATTTGAAAACCTGCACTTTCCACCTGAAATCTGTCAATCTATCACTGAAGTTGCAAATTGTTGGCCTTGCCATCCAACTTGAATTTAGTTTGGTGTTTACTATTAGTTCTATTTATACTGCTTTTATAGGAATATATGTTTTCTAGTTGATAATAAACACCAAAAATTTACTTTTATAATAACAACCAGGTTATATATATGAATATACACACATATGTGAATGTATAAATGTTTGCTAAAGATGAGGTAGAATGAAAGATTGGGTGATTTTTTTATGTTCAAATAATAATATTTAAAGTGAGATATTATTGAATTTGACTTTAATTTTATTTATTGAGAGAGGGGTTTGGACCCTCTGCCAGCCAACAGTGCTTAAAAAATACTCCTGATTCTGTGCTCAGGGATCACTCCTGGCCTTGTGGGGGGGGCATATATTTTGTCAAGGATCAAACAGGGCAGCAGCATGCACAGCAAGCATCTTAACCCTTGTACTATCTCTCTGACCTTTAAATATTGTTTTTAAATTATGCCTTCTGAGTACATAAAATGTCATATAAAGAGTCACAAGGCAGTCATTATTATACCAATTATTGAGATGCTATTGAGGATGGAGCCATGGTGTCAAACACTATTTTATGTCTGTAAACTTATGAAAGATTTTTATCCATAAGCTGCAAACAAAACACTGTCTTCCCGTTGTTCATTGATTTGCTCGAGCGGGCCCACTAACGTCTCCATTTTTTTGAGACTTGTTTTTACTGTGTTTGGCATATTGAATACATCACGGGTAGCTTGCCAGGATTTGCTGTGCGGGCGAGATACTCTTGGTAGCTTGCTGGGCTCTCCAAGAGGGGCAGAGGAATCAAACCCGGCTCGACTGGGCTGGCTGTGTGCAGGCAACGCCCTACCGCTGTGCTATCACTCCAGCTAACACACTAAAAACTGTCATTTCCTCAATAGCTTATGACATATGGACTAAAAGAATTATAAAGTTAATTAATTTATTTTTAGCAACAGGGAATTTAGAATTACAGATATAATTTAGACTTCAAAATTATATAACATCTTAACAACCTGCATTTTGATAACATTTTTTTCACTGATACTTTACAATCCTTAATTTAATTTTCTTTTGGCATAGTCTACTCTTTCAAAAATTGTAGATTTTACTGAATATAGATAGTTTGTAAGCTGTCTTAATATAGCTTTTGGAACTAAATAGGAGATAAATAAACTCAAACTGTCAAAAAGAATAGTAAATAACAAAAATTTTTTAAATGATCAGATCCAGGCATAAATTTTTAATAGGCTTGGATAAAAACACTTCTGTGAAGCTGCCTTCCCTCCTTTTGAAGTTCAACTAAATTTCCATTTAATTTGTTAAAGTTTCCCCCCTAGATCCACTGGTTATCCCCCACATTTATTATGTTCTAATGATAATTTTTTGCAGGGCAGGGAGGTCCTAAAATTCAACATCTAACTAAGTTAAAATTTTCCTAAGACCAAGAAATCTTATCCATATTCTTACTCAATATGCTCATAGGTGAGACTATGGAATAAACAGTTTAAAACTGTTACTTTGGCATGGTATCAAACTTGATGAAGATCATTGTCTTTCAAATTAATCAGGCATTTATGCTTGTACTTTATAAAGTAAATGACATCTTATTGTCTGGGGCTGGAGCCATAGCACACCGGGTAGGGCGTCTGCCTTGCATGCAGCCAACATGGCCGACCCGAGTTCGATTCCTCCGCCCCTCTCGGAGAGCCCAGCAAGCTACCGAGAGTATTCGATATGCCAGACACAGTAACAACAAAGTCTCCAATGGAGACGTTACTGGGCCCGCTCGAGCAAATCGACGATCAACGGGAGGGCCTTTACTTTTTAGGGCCTTTATGCTTGTACTTATAAATATTGGGCCCAGATAAGTAATTTAAGACAAGAACTTTTTTTAAAATTTTTTTTAATTCAACTCTCGGAGAGCATGGCAAGAGAGTATCCCGCCTGCACAGCAGAACCTGGCAAGCTATCCGTGACCCATTTAATATGCCAAAAACAGTAACAATAACAGGCCTCATTCCCCTGATCCTAAAAGAGCCCCCAATGCAGCAGCATTGGAAAGGACGAGTAAGGAGAGGCTACTAAAATCTCAAGCTCTTTATGTTCCTGAAGTGAGTAGATGCCATTGGGCTACACTAGCACATGACAGGGATGAATGGAGAGGTTACTGGCACCCACTCGAGCAAATCGATGAACAACTGGGTGACAATGATACAGTGATTTTAATTCAAGGCATTGTATCATTTCATTAAAGGTGATATAGTTTTTAAAAAAATGACTAATGATTCTATTGAAAAAAAAATGGGCTTGAGAGATATCACAAGAGGTGAGTCACTTTCATAGGCCAACCCTGGTTTAATCCCCAACACCATGTATGGTTTGCCAGACATAGCCAAGCATGACCCCTGAGCACAAAGTCAAAAGTAACTTCTGAGACAAACAAAATAATCTCAAAGCTCACTGCAGAGATGCCTCTAGACTTTAAACCTGACCGATTTTATCAGGGTGCCTCAGAAAAAAACAGGCATTATCCCTTCACCTACCCCCTAAGAATCCTGGCAGCTGCCAACTTCCAGAACACACTGAGAAGCACAGGTACATGGGTTCAGTGACAGCAAACTCCAGGCCTCAAGGGATAGGTGATAGACCAGGCTGGTCCCTCTCATCACCCCCACCCCCATGGGACCCTGGAGGTCA